TGGGTGTTATACGCAAATAATGAATCATGGAACACTACATCAAAAACTAATGATGTAATGTATGGTGATTAACATAACATAATAATAAAAAAAGAAACAAATGCTCATGTTTTGTTCCAGGTATTTTATGGTTTTAGGTGTCACATTTAGGTCTTTAATCCATTTTGAGCTTATTTTTTTGTAGGATGTAAAAGAAAAGTGGTCCAGTTTCATTCTTTTGCATGTAACTCTCCAGTTTTGCTAACATCATTTGTTGAAAAGCTGTCTTTCCCCCATTGTATATTCTTGCATCCCCTGTGGTAGATTATTTGACCATAAAAACATGGGTTTATTTCTGAGCTTTCTATTCTGTTCCATTGATCTATGTGTCTGTTTTCATGTCAGTAATATAGTGTTTTGATTACCATAGCTTTGCAGTATATCTCTAAATTAAATATTACTAAAGTAATTGGAATATATTTATTTGTGAAGCATTTAACACTTAAATATATATGTGTACTTAAAACATTACAGTCAATTTCAAGTAATAGATACATAGCTATAAAATTATTTTATGTTGATAAAATAACATTGTATAGTGGCCATATTTTATTTCCTAAAAAGTTTTACTGATTTATTCCCTTAAATTGACATTCTCAATGTAAGACTTAAGAAAAGGATTTTTTTCACAAGTTAGTGTACTTGGGGAAATCTTCCTAGGAAGATGAATGGCCAATGAGATGAATGAAACAATATAAGAAGGAATATATTCTGAGGCATATTATTAACCTGATTATTGCTGTAGACAAATGGACCTCGATGACTCTGAGGACATTCTCAGGAACATGAAATATGATCCTCAGAAATATTTTCTGAATACATGAAGAACAGATATTTCCAGTTTCTCTGATTTCCCACTGGTTTTCCAAGGAGAGAGTTAATTCTTTCACAGCCAGGCATTAAGTCCTCCTTGAAGGAAAACCTATGATACAATGTTTCAGAAATCCTAAAGCAGAAAATAAGAGCTCAAGATGTAGAAAAAAGGGTTTATCAGAGCTCATCTGTGCTCAGTTGACCTGAAATGACAGCCAACAAGGAAGCCTAGGTCAACAAGATATGAGAATTGGCATAGAGATTTCACATACCTACAGTATTTGTTGGCATGTTTAGATTTTTTTTTTGTATGACACAACTTAACATTTATTTAAAACTTAAAACTTTATTCTGGTGTCTGGTTTCATGAGTTGTAACACCTGATGAAGTAACCACTACCACAGTGAAGACTCAGGACATTTCTATCAAACAAATGTTCCCTCATACTGCCTCTCTGTAGTCAGATCATCTTCCTCAAATCCAACCTTGCCATCTAGTGATCTGCTCTCCATCTCAGCATATTTGCAATTGCAGCATGCCATAAGTGAATTCATATAGTATGCAAAATTTTTAGACTGACTTTTAACTCGTCTCTATGTTTTGAGATTTGCCCAAATTTTTGTATGTTAATACTTTCATAATTTTATCTCTAAATAGTATTTCAATATACATATTAACCACATTCTTTCTTTTCCATCTTTTAGTCAATTAGGAACAATATTATTTTATACAACAAAGACAACAAAGGTTAGCAGTTAGATATTTATTACAGGGCTGAGATAATTGTTGTTTTCCAATTTTATAAAATGTCAAAAAATAAAACTTGCAAAAACTGTTGGATGGTGTGAGAATAATATCCAAATATGTCTTTAGTTATTACAGAAAAACATGCTTGTCAAGAATAGATGGTTATAGTGCTAGTTACTAGCTAACTGACTTAAGATTCATTTCTTAACATTTATTGATTCCAGTTTTTCGTATAAAAATCAATAATATTTTGGGGTGCCTGGGTGGCTCAGTTGTTGGACATCTGCCTTCGGCTCAGGTTGTGATCCCAGGGTCCTGGGATCGAGCCCCACATCGGGCTCCCTGCTCAGCGGGAATCCTGCTTCTCCCTCTCCCACTCCCCCTGCTTATGTTCCCTCTCTGTGGGTGTCTTTCTTGATCAAATAAATAAATAAAATCTTTCAAAAAATCAGTAGTATTTACCTTGTAGAATTTCTGTTCAGAGATACAGGAAATAATAGGCAAAATCACTTGCAGCACTTAGACCTATAGTCAGGCATATCATCATCATCATCATCATCATCATCACCATCATCAAGTTCACTGTTCCAAGAGTAGAGCAAACTGGCATCACATCACTTCCAATTTTATTAGTAATTTGAAAAAGTAAAGAAGAAACTTAGAGTTATGGACTAGTGAGTGGAAAAGAAGTAAACAGTCAAATGATAGAGAAATTATGCCATAATTTATTTTAAATCTGCAAAACAAAATTTTTAAGCGAAAAGGAAAAAAAACATGAGGGAAATGAGATGGATAGAAAGAAGATAGATTGCAAGAATTTCAAGGATGTGATGATAGTAGGAATAATTAAAGGGAAAGTTAATGGACTAAAAGCCAAAATCATTTAAAAGAAAGTTGATTACCATGCAAATATATTCACATATAGAAGTAAACCAGGAGTACATTTAAACCAATAAAAAAGAAATTTAATATTAAAATAAGCATAAAGAGAACTAAATTTAGAAATAAATGAAAAAAGAATATTAAATATGAGAAAGTAAATTAAAATTTACTTTCAATTTCTTGGAACATTAATTAAATTTCTACATCAATTTCTGTGAAACATAAAAGTTACAAATAGGGGGCGCCTGGGTGGCTCAGTTGCTTAAGTGACTGCCTTCAGCTCGGGTCATGATCCTGGAGTCCCGGCATCGAGTCCCGCATCAGGCTCCCTGCTCAGCAGGGAGTCTGCTTCTGCCTCTGACCCTCTCTCCTCTCGTGTTCTCTCTCTCATTCTCTCTCTCTCAGATAAATAAACAAAATCTTTAAAAAAAAGTTACAAATAGTAGTGCAGGAATAAAATATGGTATCTTCTATTAATTATCCTGTTCCTGGATATGTGAGAATAACATTCTTTTAATTCTGTGTGGACTGCATAGTGAGAATTGCCTCCTTTGCAAACTAATCTCATTAATTTTAAAAACATCACTGTGTGATTTCCAATGACATTTGTTAACAATATACTGTGCCTATAAAATCTTCTAAAGACTTTTATAACTGGAATATTTACATGTCAGATATTGTGGGATTAATTATCTAAGAAATGAATTAAAATGAGCTTTTAAAATATTCTTGCCAACACAAATAAATAAAAGAAAAATAATAGGGTTGCCTGGGTGGCTCAGTTGTTTCAGCATCTGACTCTTGGTTTTGGCACTGGTCTTAATCTCAGGGTCATTATATCAAGCCCTGCATCAGGCTCCACACTCAGCAGGGAATCTGCCTTGGGATGCTCTCTTACCATCTCTCCCTCTGACACTCTACCTGCTCACACTCTGTCTCTCTCAAAATAAATAAAAAAAAAATAACAGAAAGAAAGAAAGAAAAAGAAAGAAAGAAAGAAAGAAAGAAAAGAAAGAAGAAAGCAAATTTTGAATACATTACTCATTGTTAATAACTATTGCAAGAGTAAACTAAAAAAAAATCACAATCTGGAATTATAATAAAATATGTAAAATTTGAAATATTTTCAAGTGAGAATTAAACCAGTGCTGATTAGAAATTAAAAACAATATTACTTTATACCAGTGGCCTATTGCTGTGAACACAATGATTAAAACACTTCCACTGAGTTGGAAATTGCCAAGACACTCCACTGACTCAAGCACATTTGTCCTTATAAATATAGCATCCTAGGGCGCCTGGGTGGCTCAGATGGTTAAGCGTCTGCCTTCGGCTCAGGTCATGATCCCAGGGTCCTGGGATCGAGCCCCATGTCGGGCTCCCTGCTCCTTAGGAGCCTGCTTCTCCCTCTGCTTCTCTCTCTCTCTCTCCCCCTCTCTCTCTCCCTCTGTCTCTCATGAATAAATAAACAAAATCTTTAAAAAAATATATATAGCATCCTATGTAACAGCACCAATGATACAATAGGTATCTAATAACTTAAGAACAATTTTATAAACCAAATAATTTGAAATTATTTGTAACTGTATTTGAAAGTATTTTTATTTGTGATTATCAACTTAATTGTATAAACCAATAATTTGATACATATTACTGAGTATCAGAGTCATTGATATTTTTTTAAAGATTTTATTTATTTATTTGAGAGAGAGAGAATGAGAGATAGAGAGCACGAGAGGGAAGAGGGTCAGAGGGAGAAGCAGACTCCCTGCTTAGCAGGGAGCCCGATGTGGGACTCGATCCTGGGACTCCAGGATCATGACCTGAGCCAAAGGCAGTCGCTTAACCAACTGAGCCACCCAGGCGCCCAGAGTCATTAATATTTTGAATGTTTATATATTTGGTGTCATTTTTAACCAAAAATTTTTCCAAGGGCCCCCTTCATATCCCTGTTTTTCAGGCTGTAAATGACAGGATTCAGGCTGGGAGGTAACAGAGAATAAAACACAGGCATAAGGAGGTTCAGTGATGATGGGGATTTTGAGGCTGAACCTAAATATGCAATATACCCAGAAGAAAGGAACAAGGTTACCACAGTGAGATGGGGCATGCAGGTGGAGAAGGTTTTAAACCTGCCTTGTGAAGAAGGAATTCTTAAGACAGTGGACACAATATAAACATAGGAAGCAACCATGAAAGTAAAGCAAACAAACAAAAAAAAACAACTAATAATAATAAACACATATTCTAGAATTTGCTCCCCAGAACAAGCAAGCGTGAGCAATGATGGAATGTCACAGAAAAATTGATGCACTATGTTTGGCCCACAGAAATGGACAGAAAATGTGCCTCCTACATGAATGGATCCATAGACACACCCACTGAACCATGATGCTCTCACCATCTGCACACAGGCACCTCTATTCATGATGGCCTCATAGTGCAGAGGACAGCAGATGGCTGCATAGCGATCATAGGACATCACCAGAAGGAGGGCAAACTCTGTGCCAGCAAAGAAAACAAGAAGGAAAACCTGTGAGGCACATCCCACAAAGGAGATGGAATGGCTGTTGGTCAGAGAGTTCATGACGGATTTGGGGACAGTGACAGAGATGTAACAGATATCAATCAAAGACAAATTTTTCAGGAAGAAGTACATGGGGGTTTGAAGATGCTGGTCAATGGTGGTGAGGATGATAATGAGGAGGTTCCCCATCAGTGCTGCCAGGTAAACCAGGGAGAAGAATGAAGCATAAAGTCTCTGTAGCACCTGATCATCAGGGAATCCCATGAGCAAGAATTCTGTTATTAGGGTCACATTCATTAATTTCTCAGGCATGATGAATTTTTTTTACTTTTTTTTGAAACATAAGAAAATTTTCTTGAATCTTCAGACTCTGTCTCCTTTTGTTGGTTCTGTTATTCACTGATTGTGAAGTTATTCTTGGGGTAAAGCATATCTTTCAAACTACAATTTCTTCAATACATGTAGAAAACAATTATATTAAGATAGTCATTAAAACAGATTAGAATATTTTTCATGTGATAGACTAAAGTTTATGCAAAAATAGACAAATATCACCTCACATATCCATAAATGGGGGATTTTTGACTTTGCTGGAATAGGTTAAAAAGTAGTAGGGGAATTTGGAATAAGATAGTGTAATTTGTTTACTCATTCTTGGAAAATTGCTTTAGTTCAATGTGAATTGTGATCTTGGTATATTTGAAGACTCAGTATGGATAACTAAAAGGTTATTTCTGCCATTAATTCTCTATCCTCTTATAGCAGAAGTAAGTGGGGAGGGAAAACATGATTAGAGCTAAAAATCGTCTTTGTATTTTTTTCTGTGACAATGGTAAAGTCTAAGATAATTTACATCTTCCATGTAATCAGGGTTACATTAAAGTCACTAATGTTTATACAAAGCTTTAATAACATTCTATGTGATCTTTATTTTAAAGAATAAAATCCTAGGAATATTTATGTATTATATATTATGATTTATGTATTTTTCTTCAATAAGGACACATGTCTCTTATGTAATTAATAAACAAAATTAAAATACAGTGCTATCTTATTTTACTGAGTGAACGTCAAATGCAAACAAGTGGAATAAATTTACCTACTTAGACATAACAAGAGAGGAATGACACTGGAAAGCTTATAGTAGATGCATAGAGGTTTGGAAAAAATTCACTTACCTAATAAGGATCAACTTTCCCTAATTATGAGTCAATTATTTAAATACCATGGAAGTTTAAGGTAAAATGAACTTAATGAAGGATACTTTCTCACATCAGAAGAAAAGTTGAAAACTTGGATCTATTGTCCAATAGGATAAAAAAATCCTGTTTAAAAATTGCTATTGGTCTGGTTTCCAGTGTGTTGCTGAATGGCAGTCGTCTCTCCAACTGTCAAGCACAGGTTCAAAGGGTACTTATATGGTCTTGCATTTTTGTGCAGGTTTACAAGTGACTAATTAGAATGAGAGATAATTAAATGCATTAACCATGAGTTCTGATGCTGTCTTTTGTTGTCATCATAGATGACATGAAGTCAGAAGTGCAAAGAATTAGGTCTATGTTGGGATTTTTTTTCTTTTGTTACCCAGTAGGGTTACCTGGCATGAGACCTTCTAATTAATAACAAGAACACTTATAATAGATTTTTGTGAAACTTTACATTTTTATGTAATGGATTGATTTTAATTTATAAGCCCATGTTTGAACAAAAGCAGATAGGTTTGTCTTTTTTCTTTGCTAATTATTTTGATTTTTTAAAATATTTGTCATAAGCAGGATATCATTCCTTATATCATATAAAATATTTAAGCTAAAGTTAATGGAGAAACTTAAATTTCCTTTTTCATCTCTACTCCTGTTTTATTTCCCTGGGGGGAAAGGGATATTTTTTTTTTCATTTTTTGCATTTTCCTGTGTAATTATTTTGTGAATTTTCCTGTGTATTTAAAATATACAATGGCAAAAAGCATATAAATCAAGAGAGGTGAGATCTTACTATGTTTTTTCTACCAACTTATTTTTGTTATTATGTTATGTTAATCACCATACATTACATCATTAGTTTTTTATGTAGTGTTCCATGATTCATTGTTTGCGTATAACACTCAGTACTCTGTGTAGAATATGCCTTCTTTAATACCCATCACCAGGCTAACCCATCCTCCCACCCCCCGCCCCTCTAGAACCCTCAGTTTGTTTTTTGGAGTCCATAGTCTCTTATGGTTCATCTCCCCCTCCGATTTCCCCACCTTCATTCTTCCTCCCCGCTGCTATCTTCTTATTATTATTCTTTTTTTTTTTTACGTATAATGTATTATTTGCTTCAGAGGTACAGATCTGTGATTCAACAGTCTTGCACAATTCACAGTGAACACCATAGCACATACCCTCCCCAATGTCTATCACCCAGCCACCCCATCCCTCCCCCCCACCACTCCAGCAACCCTCAGTTTGTTTCTTGAGATTAAGAATTCTTCATATCAGTGAGGTCATATGATACATGTCTTTCTCTGATTGACTTATTTCACTCAGCATAACACCCTCCAGTTCCATCCACGTCGTTGCAAATGGCAAGATCTCATTCCTTTTGATGGCTGCATAATATTCCATTGTGTATATATATCACATCTTCCTTATCCATTCATCTGTCGATGGACATCTTGGCTCTTTCCACAGGTTGGCTATTATGGACATTGCTGCTATAAGCACCGGGATGCACGTACCCATTTGGATCCCTCCATTGGTATCTTTGCGGTAAATACCCAGTAGTGCAAATGCTGGATTGTATGGTAGCACTATTTTCAACTTTTTGAAGAACCTCCATACTGTTTTCCAGAGTGGCTGTACCAGCTTGCATTCCCAACAGTGTAGGAGGGTTCCCCTTTCTCCACATCCTCGCCACATCTGTCATTTCCTGACTTGTTAATTTTAGCCATTCTGATGGGTGTCAGGTGACATCTCATTGAGGTTTTGATTTGGATTTCCCTGATGCCGAGCGATGTTGAGCATTTTTCATGTGTCTGTTGGCCATTTGGATGTCTTCTTTGGAAAAATATCCACTCGTATCTTCTGCCCATTTCTTGATTGGATCGTTTGTTCTTTGGGTGTTGAGTTTCATAAGTTCTTTATAAATTTTGGACACTAGCCCTTATATGATATGTCATTTGCAAATATCTTCTCCCAATCTCTTGGTTGTCTTTTGGTTTTGGGGACTGTTTCTTTTGCTGTGCAAGAGCTTTTAATCTTGATGAAGTCCCAATAGTTCATTTTTGCCCTTGCTTCCCTTGCCTTTGGCGATGTTTCTAAGAAGAAGTTGCTGAGGCAGAGGTCAAAGAAGATGCTGCCTGCCTTCTCCTTTAGGATTTTGATGGACTCCTGTCTTACATTGAGATCTTTCAACCATTTTGAGTCTGTTTCTGTGTGTGGTGTAAAGAAATGGTCCAGTTTCATTCTTCTGCATATGGCTGTCCAATTTTCACAACACCATTTGTTGAAGAGACTCTTTTTTCCATTGGACATTCTTTCCTGCTTTGTCAAAGATTAGTTGATCATAGAGTTGAGGGTCCATTTCTGGGCTCTCTATTCTGTTCCATTAACCTATGTGTCTATTTTTACCAGTACCATACTGTCTTGATGATGACAGTTTTGTAATAGCTGGAAGTCTGGAATTGTGATGCTGCCAGCATTGCTTTTCTTTTTCAACCTTCCTCTGGGTATTCAGGGTCTTTTCTGGTTCCATACAAATTTTAGGATTATTTGTTCAATTTCTTTGAAAAAAGTCGATGGTATTTTTTTTAAAGATTTATTTATTTATTTGAGAGAGTGAGCATGAGAGGGGGGCAGGGCAGAGGGAGAAGCAGACTCCCCGCCGAGCAGGGAGCCCGATGTGGGACTCGATCCTGGGACTCCAGGATCCTGACCTGAGCTGAAGGCAGTCACTTAACCAACTGAGCCACCCAGGCGCCCAAAGTTGATGGTATTTTGATAGGGATTGTATTACATGTGTAGATTGCTCTAGGTAGCATTGACATCTTCAAAATATTTGTTCTTCCAATCCATGAGCATGGAACATTTTTCCATTTCATTGTGTCTTCCTCAATTTCTTTCATGAGTATTTTATACTTTTCTGAGTAGAGATTCTTTGCCTCTTTGGTTCGATTTATTCGTAGGTATCTTATGGTTTTGGGTGCAATTGTAAATGGGATCGACTCCTTAATTTCCCTTTCTTCTGTCTTGTTTTAGGTGTATAGGAATGCCACTGATTTCTGTGCATTGATTTTATATCCTGTCACTTTACTGAATTCTTCTATGAGTTCTAGCAGTTTTGGGGTGGAATCTTTGTGGTTTTCCACATAAATAATCATATCATCTGCCAACAGTTAGAGTTTGACTTTTTATTTGCTGATTTGGATGCCTTCGATTTCTTTTTGTTGTCTGACTGCTGTGGCTAGGACTTCTAATACTATGTTGAATAGCAGTGGTGATAGTGGATATCCCTGCCACATTCTTGACCTTAGGGGGAAAGCTCTCAGTTTTTCCCCATTGAGAATGATATTCACTGTGGGTTTTGCATAGATGGCTTTTATGATATTGTGGCATGTACTCTCTATCCCTATACTCTGAAGAGTTTTGATCAAGAAAGGATGCTGTACTTTGTCAAATGCCATTTCTACATCTATTGAGGGGATCATATGGTTCTTGTTCTTTCTTTTATTAATGTATTATATCACATTGTTTGTTCTGTGGATGTTGAAACAAACTTGCAGCCCCGGGATAAATTCCAATTGGTCGTGGTGAATAATCCTTTTAATGTACTGTTGGATCCTATTGGCTAGTATTTTTGTGAGAATTTTTGCATCCGTGTTCATCAAGGATATTGGTCTACAAATCTCCTTTTTGATGGGGTCTTTGTCTGGTTTTGGGATCAATGTCATGGTGGCCTCATAAAATGAGTTTGGAAGTTTTCCTTCCATTTTTATTTTTTGGAACAGTTTCAGAAGTATAGGTATTAATTCTTCTTTAAATGTTTGGTTGAATTCCCCTGGGATGCCATCTGGCCCTGGTCTTTTGTTTCTTGGGAGAGTTTTGATGGCTGCTTCAACTTCCTTAGTGGTTATAGGTCTGTTCAGGTTTTCCATTTCTTCCTGGTTCAGTTTGGGTAGTTGATACATATCTAGGAATGCATCCATTTCTTCCAGATTATCTATTTTGCTGGCATAGAATTGCTCATATTATGTTCTTATAATTGTTTGTATTTCTTTGGTGTTGTTTGTGATTTCTCCTCTTTCATTCATGATTTGATTGGGGTCATTT